TGCGAGCAGCCACCCCCGCCGCGGGCGGAGACCACGCTGACGACCGCCTCCCGGGGGCAGGGCCGGGTCACGTGCACGCCCTCAGGGACTCCAGCGCGTTTATTGAGCACCGACAGGGACACCGGGCTGCCGCCCACAGTGAGCCTCGAACAGCGGCCGCCACCTTTCTTTGTTTTACGAGCGCGAAGCCGCGCATCTCGCCCACCAGGGCCCGCGTGCCGCAGCCCCGCCCCGCAGCGCTCCTGCACCATGCAGCTGGCTTGCTTCATCTCAGTGTGAGAACCCTCGCTGGAGCGCCAGTCCGAGATCCGGCCAGGCTCGCAGAATGCTTGCAAGAGGTTCTCCAGGGACGTGCTTGCTGGTGGTTGGCGCCCCTACTAGAGCACCTGCATTTGCCTTGTCATTTACCTTTGGGAAACCAGGCATTCCCAAGAAACCCCAGACTAGCTCTCCCAGCGAGGGTTAGGCTGCCGGCTGGCACCATATCCCACCTGAGCATTTGCTGAGAGCCCAGTCCTGACTTGTGGGCCCCTGGCAAGGGCTGGGGGTGCCAGAGCAGACAAGCAGAATCCCGGCAGGGGAAAGTGGCACACTCCTTCCCCACAGGAGTTGCTGGCAGTGTTGGAGGTGAGGTCAGAAGGGGCAAACAAAGTGGCACTACCAGGTCCTGGGAGCAGGTGGGCACTAGGCCGGACAGGTAAGGCACTCATCAGTAGAGCCTGAGTCGCCCGCCCTCAGAGCTAGTCTGCAGGGGGCACCCAAGGGCTGACTCCAGGCCCAAGCAGCAGGTGCGGGAGCAGGCTTCCCCACGAGGCCTGTGCCCGCTCAGATGCAGGGTGAGAGGGAGTTCCACGGACACAAAGGGCTCCTGGCAGTCACCCACTGGGAAAGGGGCGCCCAGCAGCCCTGACACTCGCTCCAAACAGAGGGGTCCCTTCCTGAGGGATTCCAGCCGGAGCAAAGGGCTGGCATCAACATGGAAGCGAAAGGGGGAAAGGGCTGGGGGTGGGTCAACAAGGAAGAGAAGGGGGACAGGGCTGGGGATCACAAGGAAGAGAAGGGGGATCCTGAACTTGAGGGAGTGAAACCAGGCTTCCTCTTTGTCCCCGGCCCTGACAACCCTGAGCTGAAGCAGGAAGTGCTGTGGTCGTCTCCTCACACCCCCTTTGACAGAAAAGGAACAAGCTCTCCTGGCCCAACACCGCAGAGCCCCAAGTTCTCAGATGCCGCCCCCTCCCCTAACGTGACACATCAGCCCGGCTGGCCAGGCCCACAGGAGCCAGGACCTTCCCCGGGGACGGAGCTGGGCGGCTTGTTCTGCACCGCCCTGCACCTCCACCATAGATGTCTTATGGGGACCAACCTGGGGGGTGTGGGAAGTCGAGGGAAGAGTCCTCATTTTCCCCCTCAGCTGGCCGTCAATATAGAGTGGACAGCTCCTGGAGGCGAGTCCAGGCTACCGGGATCACCTGGGCCAAGGCCTGCACACCTGGGAGGACCCTGGCTTCCTGGGCGCCACCCGGGCTGTCCTGGATGGCCTCCCGCCCGCCCCACATGCGAGGAGGGAGCAGAACCCCTGCCCTCGAAGCGCTTGGTCCCCTTTGCAACCACAACCGTACTAACGAGGCACAAGAGAAACTCCATGAGAAAGAAATGCTGCAAGCTAACGACGCAGGAAACTCCAACCCCAGTGCCTGCACCTCTGCTGCCCCCCAGACTTCCCGCAGGGACGCCTCCATGTGGCCAGGCCCCGGGCCCCGGCGACGCTACCACCCTCGTGGAAGGGCCACCGTCCCTGGTCCACTCGCCCACCAAAGGGTCTGGCCCAGGTACCCACCAAAAGCCCAGCACCCCTTAAGCCTTCAGGGCCCCCCATACCCAGGAATGCAGACACAGCGGCAGAGTAACCAGCACCAGCCTGCGGCCCGGGGGCATCTGGCCCCGCGGGAAAGGCCGCAGCACCCTTGCCAACCGAAAAGCAAAACACAACTCCCTCTGCAAAGCCATCCCCAAACAGGAAGCGGCGCCAGGCAGGCAGGAGAGGGGCCCACTTAGGGGCCCCGACGCAGCCCCGCCTGCTCAGCCCTCCTCCAGGCGGCCGGGTCGCCGGGGCGGGCACCCTGCGTGGGCCGGCACCGGGCCGGGCTGTCCGGACTGGCCCCGGGCGTGAGTCTGCATGTGCATGACCAGGTGGTGGTTCCGGTTGAAGGCGCGGCCGCACTGGGGGCACTGGTAGGGCCGCTCGCCCGTGTGGATGCGCTGGTGGCGGAAGAGGTCCGAGGGCCGGCGGAAGGCCTTGCCGCAGTAGGGGCAGGCGGGCCAGCCCTGGCTGGTGCCGGTGTGCAGCCGCTGGTGCAGCAGCAGGCTCTTCCGCTGCTGGAAGAAGCGCAGGCACTCGCTGCAGTGGTACACCTTGGTGGCCACTGGCCGCCGCCCCCCGAAGGCCCGGCCTGCCAGCGCGCGGCGGCCCCCGGGCTCCTCGGGCAGCCAGCGGATGACCGGGCCGGGCACCGCCACCTCCCCTGGCTCCAGCGCGGAGTGGGCCCCCTCCCAGCCGGGGGGCGAGCCGGCCCGGGCGGCCTGGGGCTGCCCCTCCGCGTGGGTCCGCTGGTGGATGGTCAGGTTGATCTTCAGCCGGAAGCTCTGCCCGCAGTCGGGGCAAGGGAAGGTCCGCTCCTGCCGGCGAGGGAGGACGCGGGGCGGCTCCCCCCGGGCCCCTGGGGGCCGCGGGTTCCTGGCCCGCACCCCCGGCATGCCGGAGGGGTGCAGCCGGCCGGGGCCCCCAGTCTTGCTCTGGGGCCCTCTGGGGAGTCTGCGCTGGGGCCGGCTGGGGGACTCCCCCAGGAGGAGCTGCTCGGGCGTCATCTCATCCTCAGAGGACACCTCCGCCTTGATCACCACTGCACCTCCATCTGGGGAAGGAATCTCCAGTGACCGCCAGCTCGGCCCCTCCCAGGCCGGGGACCCCCAGTCCCGGGCCCCTGCCCAGGCGGGGCAGTACCACCTCCGAGCATCATCCCCTGTCGCCCGGCCCCTTCCCAGAGGGAGGGATAGCTAAAGGCTTCAGGAGGCAGGGGTCAGGCGGAGGGGGTGGGAACACACGGGAGACGCGGGCTCTGAGGCGGCTGCCACGCAAGACACCCAAAGGTCCTGGTGGCTGAGCCCCTCCTGTGAAGGGCCCTGAGCCCTGTGGGTCCCGATGCCACTGGGCGGCTGCTCGCCCATACGACAGCGCCACGCCGTCCTGCCCTCGCCAGGCACTGAGCCGGCAGGAAAAGCAGCTCCCCACTGGCCTCAGAGTGAGTCACGGGGGGGGGGGGGCAGTGGCAGCAGCTCCCAGGCCCCCAGCACCAGGAGCGTCGGCCTGGCCACTGACCCCAGGGACACAGCGCCTTCTCCCACGTCCGGCGGTGGCCGTTCGGCTCTGTGAGCACAGCTGAGCATCTGAAGAGCTCAACAGCTGCCTGGGTGAGCCCCAGACACTCCCCCACCCCCGGCGCCGGGGCCTTGGCTGGACGCGGCCCGCCCTCTGCAGGCCCGAGGCCCAGGCCCAGACCCTTTCTACTCCTGCTGATGCGTGACCTTAAACCACGAGCTGGGAAGCCGCTTTGGAGGGGGTCTCCGGTCCCCAAACTTGACCCCACAACCCTCCCTAGTCACTCATCACAGACCTGCATTGCCGCCTTAGAAATGGCCCAGCTGTTTTTAATTTTGCCCTACAGCTAGAGAACTGTTAAGAGACAAGAGTCATCCAAACCTGGGGCGAAGCGAACGACCGCAACACCCTGAGCTGAGGACACTCGGCCTCAGCCCTGCTCCTGGAGGGCCGCGGCCGCCGGAGCGCGCCATCAGCAGCCCAGCGGGCCTGGTCTTCCACTGTGCCACCCCACCGAGGGGGCCCCGTCTCACCCAGGCCCCCCCCCGGAGGCAGGTGCGGGCCAGACGGGGCCCACACACGTGGTGCGCACACGGCCCCTCTCCCCGGGGAGGATGGGCAGAACTCGCTCCTTGCCCCTGCTCTCGACGGGGTAAGCTGCTTTCATACTCAGACTGGAGGTCAGGTAGTGAGACTCAAGCCCAGGCCCCCACCCACACGGCCAGCCGCGGCAACCAGGGCCCGGTCAGACCAGGGAACGTCACCGCCACAGGCGGCCCGAGTGCCCCCCGTCAGGCCGGGGACCACGGGGGCCTTCCCGCGGGCAGGCCCCGAGCAGCAGTGCCCGAGGTGAGGAAGGGGCCCCTCGGGAGGAGGCCCCGTGGTCCCCTCGTAGCAACCTCTACCACACTCCCAGGGCCCCAGCGACCCCGAGGCGCTGCGGTGCGACACGCCGCCTCCCCTCACTCACCTGGCCCCTGGCCCCTGGGAGGGGACGCTGCCAGCTGCTCGTCTGAAGAGTCCTCCTCCTGCTTGATGGAGGACAGCGCGCCAGCCCTGGCCGCAGGCCCTGTGAGAGAGTCCCGTGAGGCCGTTCCTCCCCAGGGCACGCCGCTGTCGAGCAGGCCCTGGACATGTTCGGGCTCTGCCCGAGGGCTGTGGGTGTCCCTGCACGGCTGCTACCCCCCCCCAGAGAGTGGGGAGCCGGGAGCCACACCCCCAACGTGCGCCCTAGCAGCAACTGCTACCCCACCGACCGCGAAAGTCAGAGGCTTCGCGCAGGCACCTCCGCCCCTTCCCAAGAAAAGGCCAGCTCCAGGCTGGACAGAACCACCCCTAGCCTCAGGCGAGGCCAGTGGGAGGCCCTCCCTGGCCTTCGGTAAGGACACTAGAGGAGGCACGCCGGTGACCCCCGCGCCTGTGCCCGAGCCCCGCCTCGGGGAAGACCACGGCTGCTCTCTCCTGCCGCAAAGCTGCCTGCTCCCCAGCCCCCTTCCTGGCAGCTGCCCCAGGGCCCCGGCCCGCCCCCACGCCGAGTCCTCTCTGACACACGCCGCAGGGCCACAGCCGCCTCCCTCACCCACGCTGGGGCCCGCCGGGGTGACTCCCGCCTCCGAGGCGGCCGGGCGCTGGGGAGCCCGGCCCTCTCCCGGCTCCTCCTGGGCGGCGCGGACCGGGCTGGGGGTGTGCGCCGGGTCTGCAGGCAGGCCTGGGGACGACAAGCAGTGACAGCGAGGCGTGGTGGTGGAGGCCCAGGCACCGGAGCTGACCGCCGGCCCTCCGGCAGCTGAGACGGAAACCCAAGGTGAGGTGACCCGGCTGGGAGTGCCCGGCGGGGTCAAGGGCCTGGATCTGAGGGACCCCGCTCCCCAGCAGCTCCTGGTGTCAGGTCCTCCCCCAGGCCAGTGTGTAAGACCCCAGGGAGCGCCCCTGAGGCTCTCCTCTGGGTGCTGGCACATACACCTCCCACCTACACACCACACAGGTGAGCCGTATGGTGACGACATCCAGCAGCACTGACCCATTCTTGCCCATCCCTGGGCAGACGGCACTCTGCGTGCCGGGCCAGGCTGTGGGGAGTCACTCACAGCCCACGGGGTGCGCAGGAAGCCACCCCGACGGAGGGAAATTTGGTGACGATCCTGAAAGAAACGAGCCCCTTCCTGTGACCCCGCAGGGCAGCACAAGGGTCCGGCCCAAAGACCTGGGCAAGACCTCGTCCCAACGCAGGCGTGGAGTCCTCCCCGCGGCACGGCACAGCGGCACGGGGAGGGCCCCAGTGTCCATCGGGGGGACCGGTCAAGTAAGCCGCGTGGGCCACGCCATGGAACCCTGCGCCCCCAAGAGAAGTGGGGACGACTCGAGACCCCTCTACTGACAGGAGGGCTCGCAGTCTGAGGCTGGCGGGAGACGCGGTGCTGCGGGGTCTGACCCGTGTCCAGCACACGCCGACAGAGCCGCGAGTCGAAGCGCTACTCACGGGCTGGGGGTCAGGACGGGAGCCCCGGGTGCATCCTGACTGTGGGGTTGCCAACACGCAAGTGTCACACAGCCAGGATGTTAAGTGAAGTCAGAGCAAGAAAAGTCAGCTCTGAGCAGTCTCAAAAAGAAGAAAGAGGAACATAACTGAACCAAGGTGATGGCATACCACGCAGGGATTTTGAAGGCATTATTTCACCTATAAATTCAGGGCAGAGCGCACTCTGAAGACAAATGCTGCAAAGAAAACTCAGATTGACATCAAAAGTCTACTTGTTAGTAGTAACCGTGGCCTCATTGTTTTTGTTAAATTTTTAAAAGATTTATTTATACATGCATCTAAGAATTGTGGTCCAGGCCAGAGGACTCCCCAGAGACAGCGTGGGGAGCAGAACAGGTGGATCTACTGAAATCCACTGCTGAGGGGAGCAGCGGGGAGACAGGAGGGGTCTGCTGGGCCTGGGGGACCCTCCCTGGCTGGGGATCGGACTCAGGCTGTCTGGGTGATACTGTTGTGACTTAGCCCCTAGGCCAGTAGGGGGGCCCTTCATTATTTTTGGAACTGCTAGGTATTACAGAATAATGAAATATCAGAAACAGACAGAAAAGAACACACCGGAGTAATTAAGCTAATATAGTCAGGAATTAAAGATTTCCACGGGAAGGAAAAGTGACCAGCCTAAAGTCAGAGACAGAGTGCTGAATCTGAATTAGAAGTGTCATACAGACCCTCCCTGTGCACAGACTCGCAGCTGGCCACCGCCGCTTCAGTGCAAGTTTGATCCCCGGCCGCAGAGTGACCCCCGGGTGCGCAGACCCCTCCTGTCGCCCGCTGCTCCCCTC